TATGTGGAAAATAATGTGTTTTTTGAACCTTAAACCGCATAAACACATTTCATTACACCAAATACACAAAATACTGTTCTTTTTAGCAGCATCATATGACCCCTTTAAAATATGATCAAGTTCAATTAAACATGTCGGTAACACTTTACTTTAAGGATCGCAAATTAGGAGTTTGTTCAGGGAGAACTCTTAGTTAATAGTGAATATGTGCTCCCTATTCTAAAGTGTTACCAAAATGTCTTATGACATGACACCCATATCTGGTACTTGCCTAAAAAGACGGGTTTATGATGTGCGTTGTTACTATATTACACTAACATTAGGCTATACTTTTAGCCTTACCCTGGAGTTGGTTTACCCTCCGCCTATGATAAACACTATATTTCTAAGACAACCTAATTTCAAAGACAAGTGGATGTTTTTATGCAAAAAACATCAAGACAGTGATAGTAAACAATTAATCTCTGCAGAAGAGCTCAGAATATCAACGCAACACGCAAAGTTTTACATTAAGCATTTACCTGCCACTGTAAAAAAGTGGAAACATGCAATTGTTATGTTAAAGAACTGTTTTTACCCTTAAATTTAGTTTTAAATTAATGTGGCTTAATGCATTAACTTTAAATTTAGTATAGCTACTGTACACCTTCATGATGCATGTTCTTGGCACTGGACCGCTGCTGCGCTTCTCTGACAATGACCTGTTTCAAATGGCAAACGCTTTAGCGGTTCAGTACACTGACGATTTGTCACCAGACTTTACCATGCAATTGCTATCGTTTGTTCTCGAAATTGAAAGTGATCAAGACATTTTTCCGGAGCACCATGTTACAAGACTGTACAGTTTAGCCCTTCTGAGTATTGGGAATGCCTGTGCTCGCAACATCGACATTAAAGCTGCAGTGAAAGACTTTGTGCACCAAAACACTCTGAGAGCGCAAACGATTCGGTAGAGTTTTTGTTTGTTTGTTTGTGGTAGTCAGTTGATAAAAATAATAAATAAGTTAATTGTCAAAAGTTGGTATGTTAAGATGTATGGAAAATTTAAATTCCTCAAAATTTACCATATATCCTAGTTTAGAGTTATCCTAGTATTAGAGTTTTTTTTTTTTACATTTTTAATTTTCTTGCTGCAAGAAAATGTCCTATTATCCTATTATCCTTCTATTATTTCTTTTCTACAATTAGAAATGCTTATGTAGGCCTGTGTTTGAACTGAGACATGTTCTAGCCATTAGCCTAAATGAATTTTATTGAGCTTACTGTGAAATAAAATATGTAGACCGGGGGCCTATAACAGATGTTTGTGTATTATTATTGTTGTTCAGTACACCACTGACTACTGCAACATATATTTAGTATTGGGGGCAATAGTTTAAGATTCTTTTTAGCCATTTTGTCATCCAATGGTGGTTCCCCGGTGTCTGGGGTAACTGAATGTACTAAATTATGTATTTTTGGGGCTAGGTAAGGGATGCAATTTTAAAGTTGCTTGACTTGAGCGCAGCATTTGAAATAGTCACAACATCCTGATTTCTTACTTTGAACACCTGGTGGGTTTAAAAAGTGCAGTTCCGAAAAGGTTTCAGTCCTATCTAACTGAAAGATATTTCTCGGTTAGCCATGGAAAATCCACCTCTGTGGAAAGAATTCTTCATTGGGGGGGTTCCACAAGGCTCTATCCTTGTTCCTATTCCTTTTTTTCTATGTCTGCTGTATATATATATGGGTAACATCTTTAGGAAGTATGTTGTATCTTTCCATTGCCATGTCAATGACACACAATTTTACCTGCCATCAAGGCATTCTAAGACTAATTAATTGGACTTACTATTAGTTTTCCTAAAATATAGGTGGAGAAACATTTTACCCCAGTATTGGTTTGGCTTCACCTGTTTAATTGGCATTATGTAAATAAATAGAAAGAAAGAAAGAAAGAAAGAAAGAAAGAAAGAAAATCTGAGCTGCATAGGCCCCAGTGATGTTGAATATATTGAGAGGAGGAGGGGCTAAACACGGAACTCTGAGGTAGTCCCAGTGGATAATTGATGTGACATGGTTTTTCTCCAAGATGCCATAAACGTCTACCTGTAAGTTAGTACTCAAACCACTGTAGTGCAGCCCCTGTGATACCCACTGTCCAGAGGGTAGACAGGAGGATCTGATGATTTACTGTATTGAAGGTTTCAGACAGGTCCATTAGAATGAGGAGAGATGATCTGGTAGCACTTGCCTGCCGCATGGCTTTAGTAACAAACAGCAAAGAAATGTCAGTTGTTGTCTAACAGGTTGTTTTGTGTTGTAGGGGGTAAGAGAAGACCTGAATGAAAACAACTTGTTCAAGTGTTTTCACTCTGAATGGGAGGAGAAGATTTGGTCTGTTGTTGTCTATGCGTGTAAGGTTTAGTGTAGGTTTAAGCAGTGGAATTACTTCAGCCTGCTTGAATGTGGTGAGGAAATTGCCAGCAAGGAGAGTTTTGTTGATGTGTTTGTGTTCTCTAAGGAGAAATGGCTTGGAGAAGATGGATAGTAAATAGGGCCAAAGATGAATTAAGAGTAGATTACAGACTCCAGCCTCTCTGAGTGGAGAGATAGAAAGTAGAGAGTGGCTGGGGAGAGGTGGAAGTGTGTGATATTGGGAACTAATTGATGATGTGTTTTATCTTGTCTATGAAAAAAAGCAGTGAAGTCATCAGCCTTGTGGTAAGAAAGGTGAATATCTTAAAAGGTTTACGGGTATCTTAAGTGCTGTTGATATTGTTATAAACTTTGCCGTGTAGACATTGGCAGAGAAGGCTTTTTTGAGATCCTTCATATCTGTCTTGAAAGTAGATAAGAGCAGGAGGTTGCTGATGAACCAAAATAAAAGAGCTGTTATGTTCTCATTTTACTCACTTCTCATAACAAAATACAGCAAAAGGCAAATACTGTATCACACTTGCATTCTTTTAAGTGAATGCATTTAAAATGCTGATGAAGACAAATACAGTAAATCCAGGTAATCCAGTGTACCTATTATTTAAATTCACTAAAATTTGTGTTTACCTATCCCTTTTTGGGTTGCAGCAAGAGTATTTACACATTAAGTCAGACATCATTTCTAACTGGCATGCATCTATTCTTCTAAATATTATCCTAAAACAGCAAACCAATTGTGAAAATCATTGATTGAACATGTAAAAAAAAAACTTAACATAAAAAAATGTAACTGTGTGTGACATGATACTGCAGCATGAACTGCACCTGTAAAAGACATGTGGAGCTGGGGGAGGTGGAGGGTTCAGAGGAACTTTTATAATTTAACTTCTGTTAACTTGATAGCAAATAAAATTTTAATCAATTTCTAAATTGTCTAAATATTATGTCTTGTAAGTCCTTTATATTTTTATACACTAAGTCTTTTGATTTTTACTGTTACTTCAGGAGAATGACAATGTACAATAGAAACTTTATCATTGTACCTAATTTTAAGTGGTTAAACTGGCACTGCTGAACCTGATCCCATGTTACAACATCTCTACTTCATCTATAACATTGACCTTTGGACAGAACAAGCGATTATGACATCACTACATTACTAAATAAAAACCCACAGTCTATCTTTGCTGCTGGTGGTGGGTGACCTGAAGACAAACCTCTGTTGAATCAAGGACATTAGCCAGAGGAACTGTGGGTCGATATGCTGGGAGAGTGACATTGTTTCTGCTTTCTTTATCTGTACTGATTTTCATTTATCCCTCCATCCAAGAGCCCTGGCCTGTGTGGAAAATCATTCATATTCATGAATTAGTAATGAAATAGGGAAGAACATCTTATGATTTCACCCAAAATCATAAGAAATTATTATTTTAATTAATTTTCTTTATATAAAAGACTTCTCTCTTTGCCAAAGAAGATTTCTCAAATTCACTGTCAGTGAATATGTTGAATCCAAACACATTTCCAGAGGACTTCAGTTTAAGAAAGAATGTCTCAGGTTACGCATGTAACCATGGTTCCCTGAGAAGGGAACGAGACACTGCGTCCTCTAGCGGTCACTATGGAGAATGCCTTCAGCGTTGACTGGAGTTTGAAGCAAATGTCTAAACACGGCATCACTACCGGCGAAACCTCAGTATAGAACACGTCATCCCCTTCTTCATCTGAAGCTTGCGTCCGAGGCATGGCAAGAAAAGAGGAAGCAGTGTCTCGTTCCCTTCTCAGGGAACCATGGTTACATGCATAACCTGAGACGTTCCCTTCAGAGAGAACTTGAACTGCGTCCTCTAGCGGTCGCTATTTGGAATGGAATACCCACGCTGCCATGCTGTGGGGAGTGCATGCCAAGCACCAAGACGAGCACTATCAACTCTACCAAGCCATGAGAGTTGTCCCTTTGGATGCCTCGGTGGCTGTTAGTGACGATATCCCCTTCGGCCAAAGGCCCGAGCTACATGCCCAAAATAACTTACCTGTTATAGGCTATGCAAAGAAAGCTTGGTCCCAGGGCAGAGCTCAAAGATTTAGAATCAGACAACAAAATGATTCTTTTAAAGGGATATGGCCGGGCATCTGGGCTCACCATGTTACCAGACCCTGGCCTGTTACCTAGGGGACCTCAAACATCAACCCCTCATTTTCCCAGGGAGGCTACAAAAATAGCCAATCTACCTGTCTGCCGGAGGCAGAGTCTCAGAACACTGACGAGTGCAAGGGACCAGCTGTACACACAGGCACAGGCACACATCATCATACAGGCACATGGCTTCTCCTACCATTGCTATGCTGATGACACACAGCTCTATCTTTCATTTCAACCAGATGATCCAACGGTAGCTGCACGGATCTCAGGCTGCCTGGCGGACATCTCGGCATGGATGAAAGAATATCACCTACAGCTCAACCTGGCAAAGACTGAGCTTCTTGTCTTCCCTGCCACTCCAACTCTACAGTATGATTTCTCCATCCAGCTAGGTTCTTCTACAATTACCCCATCAACTTCGGTCAGAAATCTTGGTGTAACTTTTGATAACCAGCTGACCTTCAAAGACCACATTGCAAAGACTGCTCAATCTTGTAGGTTTGCACTGCACAACTTCTTGTCCAGGCCCTTGTCATCTCTAGACTGGACTACTGCAATGCTCTCCTAGCTGGACTTCCCTCATGCACAATCAAACTTTTCAAATGATTCAGAATGCAGCGGCACGACTGGTCTTCAACTAGCCCAAATATCCCCCAATTGTAAGTCGCTTTGGATAAAAGCGTCTGCTAAATGACTAAATGTAAATGTAAATGTAAATGTACACACCTCTACTGTACCTGAGACGGAGACTTCCCATAAGATGGGAACCATTTGTTATGGTATCACTAAGGATACATATCAAGAGAGTGACCCAAGGTGAGAACCGGGGTCTGACCAAATCGGAGTGGGCGTGGGCACTTACCATAAACATGGATTTTAGAAAGCACTTAGTGCTAGGGAAGCACTGCCAAGCTCAACCATAAGAGCAGTCTAACAGGGAGGCAAAGATGGCCTAATAATCTAGTATGGCTGCCTCACGGAGCTCCAGGGAGCAGAGTCCTTGATTCTCGGAACGAGAAGATCAAAAGGAGAACTCGACTATCAGAAATGAAAGGAGAACTCAGACGCTCACCATGGGACCGGCGTGCTCATAGGCGACCCCATAAAGTGAGTTGAGCACTGCTAAGTAGAGGTCTTCACAGGACTGTTTTTTTAGTCCCGCTCCCGCAAGGTTCTATTCTGCACCCACCCGCTCCTGCTATATATTCACTCTTTGTTCACCCGCTGTCCGCTTAGAATCATTTTCTCCCCGACCTGACCGTTCCCGCTAAATTTAGATCTCGTTTCCAGAATCTCACATTTAAATTTCCGCTACTGAACGAAAGAGAGATAAGCTAACAAATAAAAGTGTAGTCCGCACAAAATTGTATTTTATTCATCTTGTCAAGAGTCTTGAATTTATTGACTTTGTCTTGAATTTATGTGAATTATCTTAAGACACAAAATTTGTTAAATATTTTATGCAACACAGTAGGAAAAAAGTGTCAGAGAAAATAAAAATATTGTACAAAAAATTTATTTCTTACTTTTTATTAGTCTTTTCAGGATACAATTCGTTTAACATTTACAACACAATAGGGAACTGCTCTGAGCATCGTTATGCACATGCTGCGCACAGACCACGCAAATAAAACGCGTAATGTTTAAAGCATGCGTGCAGCGCGTGCATAACAGTCCTAAGCGCAAGTTGTACCGGTGGTCAATAAGAATAAAGTGCAGATATGCTGTTCTAAATGGACGTCGGGAACGGGATATTGTTAGACCGCCCGCTCCCGTTCAAATTACACCAGAGTTACCGACCGCTAGGGCGTTTTTATTCGGGAATTTAATCCCGCGGCGCAAAAAATCCGGTCGGGTCGTGAGAGCCGCGGGAATGCAGACCTCTACTGCTAAGCTCAACCATAAGAGCAGTCTAACAGGGAGGCAAAAAGATGGCCTTACAACCTGGTATGACTGCACACAGAGCTTTGGGAGCAGAGTCCTTGGTTCTCAGATCGAGAGGATCAAAAGGAGAACTCACATGCTCCATCTGGGAGAAGCAGGCTCATGGGTGACCTTCCCGCAGTGAGGGGAGCACTGCCAAGCTCATACGAGCAACCTTAACTGCACCTGGAGATCCGGGAGTGGAGTCATAGGCTATAAGATCGAAAAGAGAACTCACATGCTTACTCTGGGAGCAGCAGGCTCATAGGTAACCCTCCCGCAGTGAGGGGAGCACTGCCAAGCTCAACCAGAAAGGGCAGTCTAGCAGGGTGGCAGAAAGGAAGCCTCTCAACCTGCTACAACTGCACACAGGGTTCCTTGACACTCTCAGTCTCATACCTCAGTGTATATACGGAGAGTGAGGGTCCCATACAGCTAGGGTCGAAGGAGCCTGCTAAAGAAGTTTGTGGTAGCGGCAGGCTCTTGCACTACCCTTATTCTCAAGGGGAGCAATGCCAGCTCGACCACAGAATGGGACCCAAAGCCATATATGAACATGATTAGAGCTCCTCAGAGCGGGCAGATCAGCCTGGTAAGATTGGAGCACTGTCATGGTATGCAGTGCAGCTGCAGCCTGACCCCCTGGTGCGTACGCTCTGCCATTTAAACGAGATGCATCTTGAAGGTGTTTGGATGGCAAAGAGGGAGCCTTAAGAGAAGATGTTTCTCCCATTGAGAGCTGGCAAGCTAGCGTCTCTTCAACAAGGGACATCTTCTCATATCCGTACTCGCGCATCCCTTCAATATTAGCATAACTAGTATGCTGGAATCTATGGATGAGTGAGGAAAAAAGATTTTTCCAAGCCTTCTCAATCTCCACATAGAGATCGGGAAGGAATGGAAGGCTCACTTGAGCTAGAGGGCTATGGTCAGAGAGGAAACTCTGGTCCAGACAGCCCTGAGCAGTTTCCTTCCTGACCCACTGACCCACGTACACAGGGCTGGAGGACTGAGAGGACTCAGTCTCAACTTCTTCGTCCTCATCAGTCATCACCTGCTCTTCCTGGCCAGAAGCCAGCAGAGCACTAGCCGCTGGATCAGAGGATGTGAGGGAGATCGCATCCACATCCAGCAGCTCACCCTCGTCCGCGACTGATGAGCGTGAAAGAGAGAGTCCCTTTTTTAGCTCATCAGCCAAGTCCACCTGAGAACCCCATGAACTCATTTTCCTCCGTGCCTTAGCAGCAGTGGGTCCTGAGCCACTGGGAACCAATGGCTGTCTTTCTCCCCTCGAGAACAGATTGCCCCCTCGAGGACATCGCTTGCATGCTCTTCGCCCAAACACAAGACACAAAGATTGCATGTGTCATCAGGTGTCAGAAAATTAGGACATGGATCTGCACACTTTTTAAACATCTTACTAGTGCTTGCTATTATGTAAATGAAAGAAAGAACAGCGTTCTTACCAGAATGCATGCTTCAAACCAAACAGTCCCTGAAGACGAAGAAGAGGATGACGTGTTCTATTGGTGGCCTTTTAAACAAGTGGTTGCACTGGGGGTGACGTCAAAGGCTGTCGCTGGCCAGTGTTATTGTCGTGTTTAGACATTTGCTTCAGACACCAGTCATGCTGAAGGCGTTCTCCATAGCCCCACCCGCTAGAGGACGCAGTTCAAGGTCCCTCCGATGGGAACCCACTTTAGGTATTTATAATCAGACATTTAACAACAAATGGTCTGAAAATTTGAAGGCAAGGTATCTCTTGAACTCAAAGTTCTAATTGTTAAGGATGTTCAGAAAAAGCTGGAACAGATCTTTCTTCACTCCACCACTACCAAATATTATCAAGAGATATGTGAACTACAATATACAAAAATCAAGAGAGATTCTCTGGATTGTTGAGTCTATGTGTCTGTCCTGTGCTGCACAATATTCAGCATCTACAGCTGAGAAAAGCTTTCTTTTCATTCTCATGTTCTGTCTCTGGCTCCAGTTCTTCAGAGATATCCACAGATTCAGAGCTTTAGTGGACAAGACAATCAGGGACAGACTTAGACATGCTGCAGATCCAGGAGAAACGGCATCAAAAACAAACCAATCTAAAGACTCGTGTGACCCTAGTCATCAGTGTACGGCCGGTAACTGATCACCCAGCGACAGCTTCAGATGGGTCTGTCTGATGTTCCTACTCCAGTTCATGATCTTTTTCAGGTAAAAACGGTATAAATGTTTTCATCATATCTAGTGAAAATACTTTAATCATAAAGCCATAATTCACAAATACATACATATTCTGCTGATAATAGACATCAAACCTAAAGGTCAATCCTGAGTGCATCAGTTTGCACTGTTTGTTTATTTATACTTTTATTATTATTATTGATTGATTGATTGTTAAGAATGAAATTAATTCTAAATTTTAATTAAAGACATAATATAATTTTTGCTGAAAGAGCCTTAACAGTATGAGCAGTGAGTTTGGGCATTATTTTTAAAGAATAAATCTGAGTACACAGCAGAAACTACAAAAAAGAAGAAAAAAAAGATCATTTTGAACCTTTTAATTTGACAGCTTGACTTGAGTCAGCAGTTTCTCACAACAATGTCTGTAATGTTTGAACTAAAGCTTATACCTCCTTAACTAAAGTTCCGAGCAAATGGTATATGTCTGGTATTGGATCGCTGCCTGAGCCTCTTTTTAATTTCATTGATGCTCACATTAGAGCTTTATGCATTCACTATCATGCCTTCGAGACACGAGTGATTTTCAGATCAACAGTGCTGGGTTCAGATTCCTGGCTTTTGAAAGGTTCATCTGGCAACTCTTCACTCTGCTGCATTAAAGGCACATTGATTTTTTTTTTTTTTTTTTCATATATGTCTGACACATATATTTCAGGTCTTTTGACTTGAATCAGGTGTGTTTGATTAAAAAAACATGCAAAATGTATAGTGACAGGTTGGAGAAGCACTAGCTTACATTAAATGCAGCCAACACCAGATACATTAGCAATGTACATTAATTTAACTTTAATTATGTGCATGTTTGTGGAAGTACATTGCATATGTTGTTTTAGCCTGATAAACTTTTCTGCAGATTAATAATTGCCCAAACCCCAACAAGGACCGTAATGCGCTCTACCATTGTCAGAGGAGGTAATGTTCTGTCAGAGATAAGCTAGCTAGTTCTGTAAGTCCATGAATAAAGGTCAACAAAAGCAGGTTTCTCAGCAGAGCCCAGGGTGATCACTGTTGGAGTATTGTAGGGCTGTGTGTGTGTGTGTGTAGTACAGCTACAAGATCAGGCTCATATTTGTAGCTAGAGAGCTGTGCGTGTGTTTGATGCCATGTTGTCGCTGCCGGCAGGTTTGTGGTGGAGATAAAGGAGCTGTTTGTGACGCTGAACTTCTGAACCTGCAGTAGTTTGCCTCAGCCACAGTTACCCCGACAGACATTACATTTACTCTCACAGCTTTACATGCCGCCCACAATGAGAAAGACAGACACGATTCTGAAGTGAAGAAATGTTTGACATCACAGTGTGACACCGACTGTCCTAAAGAGAAACCACTTTGAACACTATAATTTGACAAATTGACTTGACTCAACAGTTCCTTGCAACACTTTTGTAATGTTTCAGCTAAAGCTCACACCTCCTTAACTAATGTTCCGAGCAGATGGATAATGTGTGGTATTTGATCACTGGCTGAGCCTCTTTTTAACTTCATTGATGCTCACATTAGAGCTTTATGCATTCACTATCATGCCTTCGAGACACGAGTGATTTTCAGATCAACAGTGCTGGGTTCAGATTCCTGGCTTTTGAAAGGTTCATCTGGCAACTCTTCACTCTGCTGCATTAAAGGCACATTGATTTTTTTTTTTTTTTTTTCATATATGTCTGACACATATATTTCAGGTCTTTTGACTTGAATCAGGTGTGTTTGATTAAAAAAACATGCAAAATGTATAGTGACAGGTTGGAGAAGCACTAGCTTACATTAAATGCAGCCAACACCAGATACATTAGCAATGTACATTAATTTAACTTTAATTATGTGCATGTTTGTGGAAGTACATTGCATATGTTGTTTTAGCCTGATAAACTTTTCTGCAGATTAATAATTGCCCAAACCCCAACAAGGACCGTAATGCGCTCTACCATTGTCAGAGGAGGTAATGTTCTGTCAGAGATAAGCTAGCTAGTTCTGTAAGTCCATGAATAAAGGTCAACAAAAGCAGGTTTCTCAGCAGAGCCCAGGGTGATCACTGTTGGAGTATTGTAGGGCTGTGTGTGTGTGTGTGTAGTACAGCTACAAGATCAGGCTCATATTTGTAGCTAGAGAGCTGTGCGTGTGTTTGATGCCATGTTGTCGCTGCCGGCAGGTTTGTGGTGGAGATAAAGGAGCTGTTTGTGACGCTGAACTTCTGAACCTGCAGTAGTTTGCCTCAGCCACAGTTACCCCGACAGACATTACATTTACTCTCACAGCTTTACATGCCGCCCACAATGAGAAAGACAGACACGATTCTGAAGTGAAGAAATGTTTGACATCACAGTGTGACACCGACTGTCCTAAAGAGAAACCGCCCACTCCCACATCAGATGACACTTAAAACACACTCAGACCATCTCATGCTGGTTGAAGAGCTGAGGATGTGGAGCCAAACAGACACTTGTGAACACAACACAGGAGTTGCTCTCCATAGAGCTAATCACTTTGGATATCGCAACCTATTCTTTTGATCTCAATCTCTCTCTCCTCCAAATACCTGTGCAAATACCATGTTTATTGAAAATAGCCACTGGAGAGTGTTGTGTGGATCCCTTCACCTAATGACATTGTAAAAGACATCGTAATGTTTTAGATTACCTAAAGTCTAGCTCATCTCATCTGATTGCATATCATCTTATTCTTGTATTTGATTAGACAATCCGTTGCAACAAAAAGTGCCTTACATAAATTCTTTAATATCACATTTTAAGACGTTTTTAACTAAAATACCAGTCTATAATCCATAATAACGCTTCCTTCAGTGAAAAAGTCCATCTCCTGTTGTCTCTCACATCAAAATCCACCCACATATTTGTTTAGAGCTGTTTTGGCTTGTAAACATTATTGATCTGTGCAGATTTCTCTCCTGATTCAGGACAGAACACTAAATGAATTCAAAAAATCTCAGAGATGCAAAATCAATATTTTACAATTTTCTTGACAAGCACCTGTCACACAGTGTTAGTGAGATTTGGAAGACCTCGAGTCTCCATCTATTCCTCTCTCCCACATGATGACTTTCTTTTGTCCATTTAACACTCATGCTCAGATGAGAATTCCTCGAGTGCTTTCAGAAATGACTTCTGTTAACAGTAGTCTGAACTGTGCTCTCAGTGTTGTAGTGTGTTTGATAAGTGTGTCTGTGTGGGCAGAGAGCTCCTCTCAAAACCATTCTGAAGCCAGTGTCAATTCGGCCCAATCTAGCTTCTGTTGAGCTCAGACCATATCAGCGAATGTGTGTCACTGCACCTTTAACTCATTGATGCATTGAGTCGACAAATCGAGCACATTTCTGTCAATCACTGCTACTTTGAAACTGTTTTAGGCCAAAAAATGTAATCATGACATCAGTGGGTTTTTACGTGCTTTAACATATTTTCACACTTCAGTCAACTGAATGCAGGTTAAGAGGAACTGTACATGCTCCACAGTAAAATCTAGAACATAGAGTTTTTACTGTGAGTTTCATTTGTGCATGTTGTCTTCAGTATGATCCCCTAAACTGCTGCATGTGCTCTTCTTTATATCTGTAGAGAACTGAAATATGAGGACTGAATTGATTTTCAATGTTTTAACTATAGCCAAGTGGGAAAAAAAGGGTTCTGAAATACTAAAACATTTTAAAGCAATATTCAGGTCTTTTTGGATCTTTTTTTCTTCCAGTATTAAAATTAATCATACAGTAAGTAATATGTCAGTCTGTAGGTACATCTCCAAACAGATATTTTAATGGAAGGCAAGTATTTGTGGATTTTGATGTGCATATGCTTGTTTGTTAGACCTTTCCAGTGGCATAGCTGGACACCTAAGATCCACAGAATAATTATTAAGCCTTTTAAAAGATTTTTGTAATTTTAGATTTCACACACAATATCTCATTCATTCATTCATTCATTCATTCATTCACTTTATGATGGAATTTCCATTCCTGTTTTTTTATATCTGTAGAATCACAGTGTTCATTCTCAAATCCATTGTCAGTTTACACAGAAACAGCTTATTATGCTGTACTTTTTTATGTCCCCCAAAATAAAACAAGTCTCTGAAGACGTACACTAATAATGACAGAAGTGTACCCCACTATGCTGTAAAGTTACAGAATAAACAGGTTTTGTAGTTTAGTTTCTGAAAATGTTATTTTGGACTGTGGATGACATTTTGAGATCTGAAAGTGTTTTCATAGTACATTGATATTAAAAGTTCAAAGGAAATCGGATTATTAGATCAAGGGAAATTGGGTCCTCATGATATGAAGTCTTTAGATTAACTAAAGTTCATTATCAGATTTCATTAGTTGCAATAACTCTAACAACCCTCCTAACTAAAGTAACAAATCCAAGAGCAGCCAACAACAGGAAACATACCTAACAGACTTAAGATGATAATCTGTCTCATAAGTCTGAGAACCTGTGATCGATTATGTGTTAATTTTATTTCTGTGGTTATGCGTATATAAGAATATATTTTGCTCCACCAAAAAACAAAAAAAACATACAAGTCTTAAAGGACGTAAGTGTGAGTAATGATAAAGTTAAAAAAATGAAAATTTTAGTGCAGTGATCATGAATAGTAGAAATTGGAAATTATGGCAAATATGGTGAAAGAAATTAGTTTTAGATAATGCATAATGAGTGAGCTGAAGGCTGGAATGTTTGCCTGAATTGTTCATGAAAGACAGAAATCTATGGTGGCAGTGCACACTGTTTTAAAATACTGTTAAAGAAATTCCTGCAGTTGCTGGATTGAACTCTGATTAGCTTTTGTAAACAATCAAGCAGACTCTTAACAAGCATCAATATTCCTGTTGACTGGTGTTGGAGGAGTTGCTCCTGGTGGTGATGAACGGAGGCATTTTCACCTCTTTCAGTGCAGGGCATCAGACGGTTTGGCAGATCTCCACATTATCAGACAACAGAGGATTTAAATGTCAGTCGAGGTGTGAGTGTACATGACTCACCTGCTGTGGGTCCACCAGAGTAAACTTGACCTTTACCTTCAAAGATTCCTAGGTAAAAGCAGGATCCATGGGTGCAAAGATCCACACACCTGCGATTTGTGCTAGTTTGCATAAAAGAAATGGGTCTAAAACAGTGCAAAATTGTACTAGCAGATTATGAATAAATAACACTCTGGTTACTACCGTAACCTCGGTTCCCTGAGATAAGGGAATGAGTGTTACATTATATGCTCATGGGGTAAACTCCTGTTTACTCTGATACGGAAGCCTGATTTGTTCTCGTTTGTGTAGCTGCACAAACAAATGGCGCTTCAACCCGCCAAAAGGGGTGGAGCCAGCTGCAATATAAGTCGGTTCAGAGCGCCATTCATCAGAATCTTTCAACTGATAGCGACAGTCATCGACTCGCGTGCAGCCTTATAGCACCGCAACTTACGCAATGCACGTATTATGGAGAACGTACACTCAACGTAAATTCTAAGAGCCCAAACCGGACAGATTGGATTGGGACTCTGCTCATTCTCTGAATTAGGAAGAGCCAGAAGTTTAAACTTGTGCTCTGAATGGAGTGGAGAGAACTTTAGGCACATTGCTGTGTCTTGGTTTGAGGACAAATCGTTAACAGTCGTTAGGCCCATACTCAAGGCATGAAGGCATGACTGACAGTGCTTGCAGGTCGCCCACTCACTTGACCGACGCTAAAGCCAAAAGGAGGGCGGTCTTAAGCGACAGGGGTCGCCAACTGGAGTGGCTCGAAGGGAGGGCCCCGTAGGGCCCTGAGGACTATGGATAAGTCCCAGGTCGGCACAGTATGAGGATGAGGCAGATTCAATCTCCGAGCTCCCCTCAAAAACTTCTTCTGATTGACTGGCCAGCCACAATAGCATTGTTCGCCACGATGGCTGCCACATATACTTCCACATATAGGCTGGCAGGAAGGTTTTAGGGCTAGAAAATCCACCATCATCTCGAGGCAATTGATGTGCAAGCGTTGCTCCCGGTTTGACCAGGAGCCGGATGCCGATCTGCCCTCGTACAGTGCTCCCCAACCCGAGTTGGAAGCATCTGTCATAACCACCTTCCTGCTTGAGGTCAGTCCCAATGGGACACCTGACTGTAACAGGCGAGGGGTTCTCCAAGGGGCCACAGCTCTGATGTAGCAGTGGGTTACCATGAGATTAAACCATCCCAGGTGCCAAGTGTGGGATGGTACATGGGCTTTGAGCCAATATTGGAGTGGCCGCAAATGAAGCAGGCCCAGAGTAATCACAGAGGAGGTGGCTGGCATGAGGCCGAACATACTCTGAGGGGATGTGAAAACCCAAATCTGAATGATGCTGCTAGCTGCTGAAATGTCTGGGAGCTGGATCTGGGCTGAATCAATAACTGTCCCCAGGAAAACGACTCGCTGGCTGGGAGACAGAGAGCTCTTGGCTAAATTGATTTTTAGCCCAAGCTGCTCCAGGTGGCTGAGCAACAGCGACCTGTGAGTGATGAATTCCTTTTCTGATCTGGCTAACACAAGCCCATCGTCAAGGTAATTCATAATGCGGATTCCCATCTGCCTCGGAGGTGAAAGAGCTGCATCCACGCACTTCATAAAAGTGTGCGGGGCCAGAGACAGTCCGAATGGCAGGACTGTATATTGATAAGCCACACCCTCAAATGCGAATCTCAAGAACAGGCTGTGATGGGGAGCTATCTGGATGTGAAAGTAAGCATCTTTCAGATCCACCGATAAAAACAAGTCCCTGCGGCATATTTGTGCAAGGATCTGTTAGAAAGTCTGCACCTTGAACGGCCATTTCATATGCGTGTGGTTCAGATGCCTGAGATCGGCCTGAGCCCACTATCTTTCTTTGGAACGAGGAAGTAGTGGCTGTAAAAGCCTGACTCGCTGTTCACTACAGAAACTGTTTCCACAGCTCCTTTTGCAAGCAGAGTTTGCACTTCGGACCAGAGAACATGAGCATCGTTGTCCTGTACCAAAGTTTGATTAATACCTCTGAAGCGAGGTGGCCTGCGATCGAATTGCAGTGAGTAACCTCGCTCTGTGGTTTTTAGAACCCAGCTTGACACATCCGGAATGGCTTTCCAAGCCTGGAACTGGATGGCAAGTGGTCTGAGTTTTTTGAGTGGGGAACTGACATTTGTGGTAATGAGAAGAGGAGAAATGCTATTTTGAGTATGTGGGTCCGCTATCGCAGTGGTAATTTTGTTGGGTGCGCACTGAAGGGTGGGTCCAATTTGAACAGAGCTTCCATTGCCCAGAGCTAGGCGGGGGGATGGAGAGCGGATGCGAGCATTCTTTGAGGGTAGTCCGGCCTCGGCGGGACCTTACCCTCTCCTCTTCCTATCTGGATACGTATCAGGACGGCTTCTGAGTCTCAGGGTCCAGCGTCACTAGAGAATGGGGTCCCTGGAGCTTGGGAAAACAGGTGGCGTTCCGCCGCATAAAAGCGCTGTGAAAGGCCAGGCTCAGACTTCGCTTGAGGCTGGGTCATTGACGGCGCGGGCTTAGCAGGCTGCTGAAAGAATGGAGCCTTCTGGTGATTTGAAGCAGCTGCAGAATGGGAGCACTTCAGCAGGAAGTGATTCATAGCCTGCGATGACTTCTGTGCCGCAGTGAAGCGTTCATCAATTCTATCCACGGCAGATCCAAATAATACCCTGGGGGAAACTGGGGAGTCGATGAAGGCGACCCTGTCAGCGTCCTTGATCTCTGTTAAATTAAGCCAATCGTGGCGCACCAGCACCACCAAATTGGCCATGACCTTGCTGATTGACTGATTGCCTGTGCAAGCCACTCGCTGCAGATGATCCTCACGTGAGAATAACACCAGTTAATCAATGTGCTGCGGGCAGAGTGAAGCACGCAGGACCTGTGCCAGCGTGAGATCACTCGAACCCGGGAAATCCATCCCTCTGCCCCGCTGTTTCTTCCTCCTAGGCTCCTGGGAGAGGAGTAATGGGAAAGCAGATGAGGGAGGACCGCCTTCATTAAAGAAGGCAATCCGCAAGTGAAGCAGGGCGCTGCCTCAGCATGGGTGCTACCCAGGCATGCAACACACTCACCGTGCCCATCTGAGTCATGTCTCGGTGAGACATTTGAAACAACACCGCTAAGGAAATTGCTCTTAAGAAGTGCTCTTTTCAGTCGCCGGATGGCCACAGGGCAAGCGCTGTCTAGAGGCATCCTTCCTCTGCCGGGGCTCTTCTATGGCAAGTAGCGGCTGCTCTTGAGCTTCTTTGGCTTCTAGGCTTCTTTTTCAGAGTCTAGTGAGGAGATGATCTTCGTGCTGAAAGAGAAAAATTCTGATGAATAGCGCTCTGTGCTGACTTATATAGCAGTCTGCTCCACCCCTTTTGGTGGGTTGAACTCCCGCCCGCGCCCACAATGTTTGTGTCCACTCCCGCGGACTTTCTCTCAGAGCTTGTGAAAAATGTACACAAATGCTCAGACTAAATATTTGTTCAGGTTAACATCCAGAATAACGGACATTAAACATGATTGCATTTAAATAGGATGAAGTAATGCTAAACTAAAGCACCACGCGTGAAATTTTTATTTTTTATTTTTTATTAGCTTATAAAACATTAACCGTTAAAACAAAACCACAAATAGTTGCACCTCAGTTTTTAAACGTAGGTTACTGCACTACGTTTGGCTACACACGCACCAAACGATTAATTAAACAAACAGTTTAACTGTTAACAAACACTTTAAGTAAAAAAACAAGGCACAATATGAAATAACTTTGTTATTAAATAAATATACACATAGAACTTAGAAAATAGGCTAGATTCATTTAAACAAATTAAATACAAAACGAAATAAATAAAATAAATAGAATGCCTCAAGAAAATCTCACAGATTTCACATTCACAGTTGTGTAGCTTGCTTAAAAGAAAATACTACTAAAAAATAACATAGCCTATACTTAATAAACAAATGAATTTAATCACTGGGCCTGGCATTGCTTACTCCATATTACTATGAAGGAAAAGTATATTGCTGACTGAGTGCGGTCCCAGACTTGTGCGTCTTTCTTCCAAGATCCGCCCACACACACTGAATGCCCTCTCTGACAATGCACTAGATGTGGGAATGCTCAAAATAAAACGCGCAAATTTTGAGAGGACAGGAAAGCGCTCTTTGTTGAACTTCCACCACTGAAGCACATTCTCTAGAACTCAATTTCTATTACACGCCAAATCCCACTGGGCCCTGCGGGTCTCCAGCAAAATTTTATGACCACCCACTCCCACACGCAGCAAAGGTAAAACCCCCCACTCCCGCGAGATTTGTGTTGGGTCCCGCGGGAGCCCAAACCCAATGCAGCCCTCTAGACCAGAGCGAACTTTTATGTAATTCCGGTTACATAACATGTTATAAGAGCAGCTGATGTTCTATGCATCAGTGCAGACTGTCCCGTGTCCAGCAGTGAAAGCAGGGTGTCTTTCTGCGTTAACACTGAATGAAGTCTGACTATGCAGAGCCTCTCTTCATTCTCAAACTCTCTCCAGAGAGAAGGTTAGAGACGTTCAGATGAAAACAATGGAAGCGGTCTGACAGACAGGGTTTGGAATGACCACAGTGAAAGAGAGAAATAAAATCAGAAATGTTATTCTTGCCGTCTCACCAACAACACAATATGAAATTGTCTGACATTTTTGAAAACCAAAATGCAGACACCCCAAAATGAAAATTCTGTCATCATTCTTTTTTGTGTGAGGAACAGATAGAATTTGAAGTCACTAATGGGGTGAGTTGGGACACCTGACCATTACACCAACAGGATTTCCACAAGATTTTGGAGTGCTTCTGTGGGAATTTTTGTCCATTTATCCAGTAGAGTATTTGTGAGGCCTGGCTCGCAATCTCCATTTCAGTTCATCCTAAAGAAGTTGAATGGGGTTGAGGCCAGTCAAGTTCTTCCACACCAAACTCATCCAACCATGTCTTTATGGACCTTGCTTTATGCACTGGGGCTCAGTCATGCTGAATAGAAAAGGGCCTTCCTCAAAGTGTTCCCACAGTGTTTGAAGCATAGCATTGTCCAAAATGTCTTGATATGCTGAGGCATTAAGATTTCACTTCACAAGCCCAACTCCTGAAAAACGGCCCAATACCATCATCCCTCCTCCACCAAACTTTACTGTCAGGCAGGTAATCCATCAAACCCAGACTCACCCATCAGACTGTGTGATTGGTCACTCCACCG